TATTTTAAATATCTAATTGTTTGACTTTACATACTCAGGACATGGTGTTACAGTTTATTGAATAAAGATTTTTAAAAGCCCTTTGATTCTAAGATAATTCAAAACATATTTTGCTTTCTATTTATAACATTTTGGAAATAGCATTTTGCTAAAAATTGGATTTATAATGCTTAAAGGAGTTCTAAAGTTTGAAGAATGAATTTCCTAGTTGAATATTTATGAAAAGTCCTTGATATTTTGAACTAGTGTGCATATACATTTTCTTATTGTTCGGTTATACCTATAAAGATACAGCATTGAGGAAAAAAAGAGGACCGAAAGGAACATGACAATTCACTTTTTTTTTTTTTTTTTTTGAGATGGAGTCTCGCTGTCTCCCAGGCTGGAGTGCAGTGGCGCGATCTCGGCTCACTGCAAGCTCCGCCTCCCGGGTTCAGACCACTCTCCTGCGTCAGCCTCCCAAGTAGCTGGGACTACAGGCGCCCACCACCATGCCCGGCTAATTTTTTGTATTTTTTAGTAGAGACGGGGTTTCACCGTGTTAGCCAGGATGGTCTCGATCTCCTGACCTCGTGGTCCGCCCACTTCGGCCTCCCAAAATGCTGGAATTACAGGCGTGAGCCACCGCGCCCGGCCGCCAATTCACAAATTTTGAATTAGCTGATTTTATTGTTGAACAAAGCAAATACCCCGAACGCATGCAGGTAGGCAGCAAGTGGCTACAAACATATAGTGGGTTTCTATATGGAATTAAAGCTATAGTTGTTATAATTCTACTTTTAACAGTCAGTAGATACTGAATTTGCATCAGTAGTTACATGGAGCTTACTCTCACATTCTGTTCTTTCATAATTCTCTATCAGGCTTACTCTGAGATTTTGTTCTTTTCAATTTTTCATCAGTACCTCCGAAGACTGCCCCTGACACATAAGTATCCAGTACACATAAGTAGTCACCTCCTTCAACATTCTTTCATTCTTTAGTGAGGTTAGAGTAAGTTCAGTTTTCCTACCACAGGCAATCACCAATATTTTGACTACCTGCTCAAATACCTGAATCCAGTAGATTTATTCTTGCATCCTTCCTTGCATCCTATATATTGCCAGCCACATATTAGACTCTCACTAACTACATGCTAAAACACAACAAATGTCTCTCATAAACAATGGGCTCAGCTTGGTAGAGTCAAGAACTTCCCTCTCTCTTTTTTTAATTTTTCTTTTAGATTTAGGAGTCCGTGTGAACTTTTGTTACATAAACTCATGTCACAGGGGTTTGTTGTACATATTATTACGTCACCCAGGTATTAAGCTCAGTAATCAGTAGTTATCTTTCCTGCTCCTCTCCCTCCTCCCACCCTCCCACTTCAAGCAGACCCCAGGGTCTGTTGTTTTCTTCTTTGTGTTCATAAGTTCTTATCATTTAGCTCCCACTTATAAGTGAGAACATACAGCATTTGCTTTTCTATTCCTGCGTTAAGAACTTCCCTCTGTTTCAGCTGACTTTAGAGTTTCTCCTCTTTTATTCTTTTCCATTTAAATGTTGCAGAGCACACGATGTAAGCTGGCTTGATGACATTGTTTTCTCTTCTCACTTCTTAGCTCACCCAGGTGATGGTAGTTACTAGAAGAACTTACAGTTGCTTCTTGGGTGAAGCAGGAAAGTTAGGAGAAGGAGGGGTGGAAACCTTTGCACTGCTGATGGCTTACAACCCTCTTTTCCCTCCTTTATTTCCCCTATTTTGTCACATTCTTACTTCCAGGGCTTTGGAGGAGGAGCTCCCATAGATATCCATCAGGAAAAGTGGAATTTCCCACTCCTGTGGCAAATGGCTATTGTAAAAAAGACATGCCCACCCATACATTCAAGGGTAGAACTCTGAATGCATTTTCTAATAAAAATTTTATTCCATTTTATGATTAGCTTACAAAAGTACTGTTTCCAGTATGCTTTTAGTAGCACTACGGAGAAAATGAACAATTGTAGTCCATCTTTGGAAGTTATCTACCATCTCAAAAAGTGTTTTTAATTTGTATTTTTTTAAATATCAAAAAGCTTTTAAATTTCCCAAAATTGACAAATAAAACTCTGCAATTTGATCTGTGAATAGGAGAAGGATTTTAGTAAATATTCCTGCCTACCATCCAAATCCCCCCATCAGAACCTAGGGACTCATTTTCAGCAGCTAGCACTGTTGGCTGATAGCTCAGAGTGGAATTCTTCTCCAAGAATTTCTTTCTTTCAGAGGAAGCTGCCATAATGTTATGTCCAATGCTACACTTCCTCTTTGGCATCAGTCTTCATCCAGTGACAGGTCAATGGAGTTAAAGCCCTGGCCCTTTGTTTTATCTGGGGCATGTCTGGAGGGCTAGCTCAGTACCAAGAGTCCTAGCAAGTTATTCGCTACAATTGCTTCTTAGTTTTTTTCCTTTGTTCGGTCTTGATTCCTTCACTCACTTGTGAGTGTTGTTCCCATAAACTCTCCCTCCCAGCTCTTTCACACAATTTTCACCTCAAAGGGAACCAACCTAAAACAGAAAAGTAACGTATTACTTGGATCAACTTAAAGCTAGTTTAAGTAATTGCTCAAGATTTCTAATATTTCTCCTTCATATTTATTATGATAATTGTATTAGCATATACAATTTTAATTTTTATTTAAAAATATGTACATGTGGTTTTAAAAGTCAAATAGTATTGCATTATTTACAAGGAAATAGTAGTGCCTTGTCCCATGACTCTCAAAGCCCTTTATCCTGCAATTTCATGAATTTTTAAATTGTAGTCATTACTTACTGACTTTCAGTTATAACAAATTAAGATTTACATCTCTTCTACTCACTCCTCCATATTGCCCACTACCATTTCCCAACTAGCCAATTTGAAAAACAAAGTCATTTGTTTATATAAGCTTTAGTATACGCCATTTCATAATAATCTTTGCTGCTGAGCCACAGAGCACATTTCGGTTACATTTCTTCTCCCTTTTTACAACTATTTTTCTTGAGATACATTATTTCCTTTTACTTTTAAAATTTAGTTGGTTTATCACTTTTGTACCTATTTCTAATTCATCCCAAAACTTTATGTAAAATGCCTCTTGGTATGGTAAGGCATATCCCATTATCTTTCGGCGATAATTTTCTCCCCCATAGGAACATTTGACATCTGTCTTGGTGCCCCCTGTCTTTCTTTGTTCTAAACTGCTTGTTCTCTATACCTGGGGCACAACTGTCATCTTGGGACTTCTCTTCTCCATTGCCCTGAAACTTGCTGTTCTCTAGTGTTAATTCTGCATATCTTGGATTGCATGCCTTCCTTTTTCTTGGCTTTTACCCTTTACTTTGCTGGAGTGTGTTCTCCAGTACTTTGTGAGAATAGGTGCATCTCTGAAATCAATCGTTGAGTCAATGAATGTCTGAACTTTTTATCCCACTTTCACCTTTGCTTGACAGTTCTGTTAAGTATACACTATAGGTTGTGGATAACTATCTTTTTAAGAGAGGCTTATTTCTATTTTATATTTAAGCAAATTATGTAGTGTACATTGCTGATCTGAAGAAAATACACAAAAGTCTTTGTACTTCTACTGTTTAAAAAATTATTTTTAATTGTCAGTAATTGTGCATATTCATGGGGTATATAGTGATGTTTTGAAACATGTAATGTCTGGTGGTCAAATTGGAGTAATTAACATATACATCATGTTGGAGATGATTTTTTTTCTCAGAATTTCAAAGACATTGCTCCAATTATTGTCTTGAGAATTATGTCATTCTAATTTTTTATTATTTATATGTGGCCTTTTAAAATGTTTGCTTTTTCTCTGTCATATAGTTTCCTCTTATGATCTCTTTTATTCCTGGTGTTTTACAATTTAATATTAAAGATCTTGTTTTGGTCAGTTTTAATTAATTGAATTGAAAACTCTTTGAGCTCTTTCAATCTGGAAACTCATGTATTTCAGTTCTGGGGACATTTCTGATATTCTTTCATTGTTAAGCTCCTTTTCCTTTATTTCTGTTCTTTTATTAATTGTGTTCTTTTGTTCTGGAATTCCTATTAGACATCTTGTATCTTCTGAAATGGTTCTTTTGTTTAAACATATTTCTTGTAACGTTTTCTTTGTCTTTGTGACCTTTGTTTTTTGATTGTTTTACTTTATGGGTAATTTATTCAACTTTATCTTCCAAGGTTGAGAAATACTATTATCTTATTTTTAATTTTCTGGGGGCCTTTTTTTGTTTTCTGAACACTACTCTACCTGTTTTAAAAATAGCATTCTAGGTCAGGTGCAGTGGCTCATGCCTATAATCTCAACACTTTGGGAGGCTGAGTTGGGCGGGTCACCTGAGGTCAGTAGTTTGAGATCAACCTGGCAAACATGGTGAAACCCCGTCTCTACTAAAAATAAAAAATTAGCCAGGCTTGGTGGTGGGTGACTGCAATCCCAATTAGTTGGGAGGCTGGGGCAGGATAATCACTTGAACCTGGGAGGTGGGGGTTGCAGTGAGTCGAGATCGTACCACTGACTCCATCTCAAAAAAAAAAAAAAAAAAAAAAGCATTCTATTCTTGTTTTATAAATACTGTGTCTCTGAAGAGATTTTTTATAGTTGCTTCAAATTTTCTTCATGTGCCCACATAGTTCGTTTTCATTTGCTTATTTCCTTGTTTTAGTTTTGTCTTCGAAGTGAAATTCTCTCTACTTGTATCTGGTGATTTTTGGCCATCCATTCATATTTAAAAGTGCAACACTGAAAGATTAATTGAAATTTTTGTGTTCACTGGTGGAATTTTCCAACTGTTGGGACTCACTGTGAGGGACTGGATGAGAAAAAAACCATTTCTTTGGCAACCTCACCTTTCTCATATACTTTCCAGATTTTTCAGAGAAGAGAAGCTTCCCATCTGATGGAATATAAAACCACAAGCTTTCTGGAGGCTAAAGTGAAAGGAGCTAAGTATTTTACATTGAGCATACAGGATTTCATCCATTACCTTCATTATTTTTGTTGTCTCCCAGCAGAGCCTCTCGTGTTCACCATCTCCAGAAATTAAACCACTTGGCTAGAGTAGAGAGGTCTAATTATTTTTTATATAGATTTTAAATAAATCTAATTGCCTTCAGCTTCACCTTACATGCCTGATATCAGAGATAGCTAGTGCCTTACCCAGGCTCTTTGTGGAATTCCAAGGTACCAATTGGTTTTTCTTTTCATCACTCCCTTTCGCTCACCCCCAGCATCTGCCTCTCCTCTCTACCTAAGCACTCAACAGAGGGGAGAAGGTTGAAACCTAAGCTAATGGCCAGTTATCCATCTATTTTCCATTTTTCTCAATTTTGTTGACTTTTTCTATCTGTTGTATATTCTCTCCTATTCTGTTTATCTTGGTGAATTTGTGTATTTTTATTGTCATTTTAGTGGCCTTTCAAGAGGGAGCAGAGATACACTATTGTGTTCAATCTGTCATGGCTAACTGGAAGTTTTTAATTATTTGTTTAGTTCTGTCTTCCCTGCTCCACATTTATCTGGTTGAATTGAATGTCTGGGAATAGAGAAATGACTAACACATAAAAGGAGCTTAATAAATCTTCACTAAATAAATGGAGAGTTGCAAATTTATTTTAGTGTATAAATGCATATAACTTAACTAAAACTTACCTCAAATTATAAACTACTTGTCAAACTCTTTAAAAACTCCCCCGTGGCATTATCAGTAATGCCACGATGCCAAGAGGGAATTTTTAAAGAGCTTGACAAGGGTGGGCTGCTGTAGAAGAGTAGAACTCTGGGCAGGTGATGGTATTAGAGTTCTGGGCATGTGATGGTATGATTAGCTAATACTAACTCTGTGAGGGTCCATTCTAAAAATGAATATTGAATTTTTATCATATTGGAGTGAAGCAAACATTTTATCTCTTTTCCTCAACTTTAACAACAATTTACACCTAAAAGAGAATTCACAGATATTGCTAATGCCCTGGTAGATGCTTAAGCAGTTATTTGAACTGTATATGATATATTCAAGAAGATTATTGATTAAAGAAAGAAAGCATTTTATTTGAAAGTTTTACTTTCATAATGACATTTCTCTTCAATTTCATCAATTTTCAGTAGAGTATTTTCATATCATTCTGTTCCCATGGTTGGAAAATTACCATTGTGATTGTTTTCTTCAGTAATTAGCAATTTTAAGACTGTGCAACAGAATCTGAATATGGTCTTGCATGATAAATTGAGAATAACATTTTAAAAGTCGTAAGTTGTGCTACTTTTTTGTAATATTATATGCAGTCTGTTTTTAGGGGGTGGGTTTTGAAGTGACATATATAGATAATTCATCAGGGTAAAATTCAGTTACTTGATAGTTTTCATATGTTGTGTATATTGTCAAAAATCTAAAATTGCATTGCTACAAATTAGCCTGCCACATGCCGTACTCTGCCATGTAACATATGGCCCAGCATACAGCAATAATCACCAAAATCTGTGTCAGTGCCTTCAGAGAAAATGAGAAATTGTCGCTGTAGAGGTGCAATGCTAGTAAATAAAAATGAAATCTTAAGTTTTACTTACACTTACATCTAATTCTTAAGGTTTAAAATATCACCTGAATAAGCTGTTTGGGTCATATATATAGGTCTAAATCTTTGAAGGTTTTCTCCACTATAGGCAATTAAAATAACTATTGAGTAGTTTGTTTTGACAACTGATTTTGACAAGTTAACTTTCACCTTACTAATTCTTTTGTGTAGGTACAGTTAAACTTTTCTCTTCTTGCTGCCTCGGAAGATTAATTTGTTGAATCACTGAACTTTGTATGAATTCTATCTATTTATTCTCAGAGGTACTTAATAAAAATATTATTTAAAAATGTGTTTTAGTTATTTGACTCGTTTTAAAAATCTTTTAAGTTTTACATATTGAAATAGAGCCTGATACAAATGGTCATGTTTTATAAACTATAAAAGCATGTTGAAAATCAAATAAGTTACTGCATAAAATTAATTTTTATATTTGTGATTACTTATGTTTAATGTATATTTGTATGCATATGGTTCAATAATGATATCTTAACAATATAAATTTTTTTCTATGATTAGTTTTTTTCTAAGGAATGGTATGGGAAACTAAGTGTTGTGGAAAATTACTTGCTATGCAAAGTTCCCAAGTGACTATTGACAATGCAAGGAGGGCTCCAGTATTAGAATCTAACCTGCAACACTGCCTTGAATCCTAGAAAGGGAATGTGAGATATATTAAAAAGATTGGTCTTGAATATTAATGACTTCTTCCTAACATGAAGAGCTATTTAGTTCTTTGGCAAGTGGTCCTCAAGTCATCTTATTATTATGTAGGCCACTTTACTTTGTCTTGTCTTTAAATACCTTTTACTTAGCTCATTGCATTGTACCTTAATTTTTAAGTTAGCTATTCCAGTTAAGAAATTTCCACATATTCTATCTCAGAAGGTTCATTTATCCAACAAATATTTATCTGGCACACACTATGTATTGGATACTGTTTTAGGTGCTGGAAATACAGCAACAAACAAAACAGACAAAAATCTATGCCCTTATATTCTTGTTATATCCTAGCTTACATTTTAGTGGGGGAAGAGATGTACTAAACAGGATAAATAGAACTATATATGGTATGTTAATCTGAAATTAAGGTACTAAAGGAGAAAAAAAGTAGGGAAGGAGACAGATGGTTTATTGGTAGAATAGCTCTTCAATTTTAGATAGGATGACTAGGAATGCCTTTTGAAGAGAATAGATGTGAGAGGGAGCTGAGTGACTGTTTGGAGGAAGAGAATTCCGGATGCGGGAAGAAGAGAAAAAGTCCCAAGGCAGGAGGGTGCTGGGTATTTATAGGAGGAGCCTAATGTGTCTAGAGTAGAGTGGACACTCTGGACAGTAGTTAAGGGGGAGGTCTGGGACGTAATGAGTGTGAATGTGAGGAGCAGATCATGTGGGTCCTGGTAAGTCCATACTGAGAGTGAAATGGGAAGCCACTGCAAGGTTTTGAGCAAGGATGGGTGTGACTGATAGGTTTTAACAGAATTGCATTGGTTTCTAGGTTAAGGATAGCATTAAAGGAGCAAGAGCAGAAACGGAGATCAGAAAGGAGGCTAATGCACTAATCTAGAGAGAGATTGGTGACTTCAACCTGGGGACTATTAGTAGTGATGTGGACAGAGGCTAGATTTTGAAGATAGAGCAAAGAAGATTTGCTAATAAATGGCATGTGAGGTATGACAGAAATGTAATTTCCCTAATCATCAGGGAAATGTAAATCAAAACCACAGTGAAATATCATCTTATCCCAGCTAGAATGGCTATTACTAAAATGACAAAAAACATCAGAAGCTGGCGAGGATACAGAGAAAAGGAAACTCTTATACACTGTTGGTAGGAATGTAAATTCCTATAGCCATTACGGTAAATAGTATGGAGATTTCTCAAAAAACTAAAAACAGGACTACCATCCAGTCCAGCAATCACACTACTGGTATTTATCCAAAGGAAAGAAAATCATTATACCAAAGGGATACCTGCACCCCCATATTTACGGCAGCACTATTCACGATAGCAAAGATATGGAATCAACCTAAGTATCCATCAACAGGTGAATGGGTAAAGAAAATGCAGTATATATACACAATATAATACTACTCAGCCATAAAAAAAATAATAAAATCCTGTCATTGATAGCAACATGGATGGAACTGGAGGACATTATGTTAAATGAAATAAACCAGATGGAGGAAAACAAATATTGCATGTTCTCACTCATATTTGGGGCTAAAATTGTTGGTCTTAGAAAGGAAGAAAGTAGAATGTTAGTAACCAGAGCCTGAGAAGGGTAGGAGAGCCTGAGAGATTGTTTAATGGGTACAAACACAAAGTTAAGCAGAAGGAATAAGTTTCGATGTTCAATAGCATAGTAGTATGACTATAGTTAACAACAATGTATTGTATATTTCAAAATAGCTATAATAGAGGACTTGAAATATTCTCAACACACAGAAATTATAAATGCTCAAGGTGATGGATACCCCAAGTAACCTGACTTGATCGTTGTAGAGTCTATGCATGTAATAAGATACCACATGTACCCCATAAAAATGTATAAATACTATGTTTAACACTTTTTCTTAAATACAGAAAAAGAATTTAAGTTTGGCTTTTTTAGGTATGAGATGCCCATTAAACATTCAAATGAAAAGACTGACTGGGAAGTTGGATATTCAAGTCTGGAATTTAGAAGACAGACATGAGCATATAATTTGGGAGTTATCAATATACATAGATGGTATTATAAGCTCTGAGACTGATGATCCCTTTTATGGAAACTATGACAGTTTCTGCCATTATTAAGAAAGGTCATCATATCAGATTTTTGAAGTAATGATATTTTTAAGGTAATGGTATTTTAGGGATGCTAAATTCTTTGCAGTTTCTAGGACTAAGTATATTTTTCCAGGCTTAGAAGAGGTGCAGGTGATAAAAGTATTTGTTATATAAAACAGAAAAAAAAGGTTATATTAAAATGTTAAATAAAAAGGAGTATGCAAAATTATATACATTATTTAATCAGAATAATGTAAAATATACTTAGACAAATATGCGAAGGAAATCTGACATTTTTAATGATGATTGTCTTGGGTATTAGGAGTATTTGGAAAATTTTTCAATTTTCCAAACTTTTATTTATTCTCCAGTTTTTTTCATACAAATATGGATGATTTTTAAGATGAAAATAAAAAGTTTCTTCCTGTGAGCTGATCAATTAATGCTTGGATTCCTAACAGAACCCAGTGCCTAACTGCACTGAATTTCCTCATTTATGATTATATGTGTTATGATATAAAAACATAGAAATTGACAGTGAAGGGCAATCACCAGTCTCACCTAGATACGATACAATAACTATTTAGCTTATTTACAATTTATCAGTACCTGAGACAAGATTTTCTAAACAAACCAAAAAGAAAACAGGCATCATATTCATATTCAACTTAATCCATGAATCTCACTATATTCAGGCTGCCCATTATTT